GACTATGCTAACACACTAAACCCTCCCAAAACATATTTAATCCCTTATGTAACCGGACTATAGCGACATACAAATTGAGTAAACACGGATATCGCGTTGTTACATTCGGTTAGCAAGCAAGTTTGAGGAAGTTTATTCACAGCATAGCAAATAACCATGAGCGCTAGTTAGGCATGTGTATTAAATACAGAATAATAAGAATCCATGTCGAATTATACACAGTAGTGAGACGACATGGGAAACATAAGATGCACACCACCATGGAATCTGAGGAATTGACAGGAGTAGCTTGAAAACTGAGTCGTGCTGTCTATTTACAACCTCATATGCGTCGAATGACAGGAAGGGAAAAAACTAACTGAAGAATGATTTCCTTTAACAAAGACAGAGATGGGTCAACATTTAATTTAAACAGGGTGGAGCAATTATCTCAGCACAAACACATAAAATAAAGCAAAAAGTAGCTGTAAAATAATTATTATGATGTTTTTACACACGCAAAATATACACATACGGAAATGAACAGTGGAGAATATACAACTAGATCCAGAAGCTTTCATATCGGCAACAGTTCCACACAACTTGTATTTGGCGGAAGAAAAGTCGTTTTATTAGATAGCAATTATGCGTCCCAAACCTAACTCTAATTACAAGTTATACATTCCACCTAGGGAGAAAACTGAGACATTTGCCCAAGAATGATTTTAAGTTTTCAAAAATGAAAAGTGAAAGGATGTCCAATATCCAATGTCCTTCGACTCATTGATAGAACTATATTACTGTTATGAATGACACATTTTTGATCTTGAATATGAGAATGAAACAACAGACATCCCTGTTGAATTTAATAATGTGTGTACTGAAATAGATTTTGCTTTCGAAAAAGGAAGAAACCATGGTATACACCTGTCAACACATTCCACTTGTTGGTCCAACCCTATTGTGCGTTTCGTGAGGAATCTCTGGACACTTTCGATATTTGTCAGTCTGCAGACCTTAGGTTACCAAATAGGAGAGCACAATATTCAAGTATGGGGCGGATACATGTCCCATATACAGCTAATCTTGCTTCTTGGGTGTTAAAGTTACGCAGCACAAAGCCAATAAGTCGTTTACAGTCGGATATAACCTTATTTGCATTATCCGAAAAGGTTAAATCTGAGTATGCTATCCCGAGATCTGTGACTGTGTTTGGTTTTGAGAGGAGCTTACCGTACATATACAGGCGCATTCTCTGTTTCCAGCGTCCAAGGTGAGCTCTACCGCACTTGTCTGGGTTGAAAGTCAGTTGCCATTTTTCGCTCCAATCGCCTAGATTGTTTAAGTCATGTTGGATTTCGCTTTCGACGCTCATATCATCGTACCCGTAATCATATACTATCTTGATATCGTCTGTAAAGAGGTGTGGCTCGCCATACTTGACCACATAGGTTATTCCATTTATAAATAAGAGGAACAGAATAGACCCAAGAACGCTACCCTGTATTACACCACTAGTTATCGGCTTTGATGAAGACAGCTGGTGGTTGATTTTGACTAATTACTCTCTTTCTGTGAGAAAAGAATTTATCCATTTGAGAAGTTTTCCGGTTATTCCGTAGGATTGCAGTTTTGTTAGGAGTCTGATGTGTGGGACTTTATCGAAGGCCTTGCTAACGTCGACAAATAACTTTGTTACCGAACGCCCATTATCCCAGGTTTTCACTCGTACTTTTCCATACGACGTCGCTAGTATTCGGTGGTTCACAGAGTTTAGAACATCGTAGAATGTGAGGACATGGATGTATTATAGCAATAATAATAGTAGTCGCATTTATACATAGTGCACTAAAAGTAAATGTTCTTCAGATAAAGCAATAAGAAGACGTAATTTGTCTGAATCGTGTAATGTATTTGCGCAACACATTTCGAACAATCTGATCACACACGGACTTGTCATAGGAATAGATATGAAATTAATAAAGAGGTAAGAGGTGAGAAAAAAATAGACTTAGGTCAAGTTTAAAGGACATATTCAAGGTCAAAGTAACAATGAAGACCACTAAACCAAATAACAGAGGTAATAGTACATCTGCTATGGTGTCAAAACAAAATTTACCAAGGAAGGTTTAATGTGATGACAAATTGTTTTTGAACGCATAAAGGTGGCTTAAACTTTCTAATTGCCAGCTAGGGCTTCCACAAACTTTAGGATACGCCCCAAACACGTTTTATAGATAGGTTTAAAAGATCTGTTAACGTCGATTTTATGACCTGTTTCTATAATATGTTTTGCAATAGAGGAGCTATGAATGAAGTTCAAAATAGCATATCACTTACATCTGTAGAAGAGGAAGATAACTGTTTATCTTTCCTAGATATACTGCTTAGTCGACGGCTTGATGGGTCGATAAAAAGATCTATTTATAGAAAACCTACCTGGACCGGACAGTATCTTAATTACCACAGTTTTTGCCCTGTTCGGTACAAAAGAGCCTTAGTAAGGGGCCTCTTCAGTAGAATCCAACGAATATGCACTGAAGACACACTTGATGCGGAAGAAGGAAAATTGACACAAACTCTGGTTGATAACAATTATCCAGACAAGTTCATCAGGAGATATAAAGTAGTCAGAACACCAAGACCCACTCTCCAACTCGCCCCTAAGAAAGATGTATACATCAAGCTACCCTATATGGGGCATCAAACCAGCTTGATAACTAGACAAAGACTGAACGCTGCTGTCAAAAAGACTTTTTATGCAGCCAATATCATAATAATAGAGAATGTTAGGCCAATATATCTATCTAAGCCCTTCGAACATGAGAAAAATGACGTCACATCCCACTGTATTTACCAATTTGAATGTACGTGTGGACACACATACATAGGGAGGACTCATCGATCTCTGCAAGTAAGGGCTTCAGAGCATATTCCTAAATGGCTCCAGAAACAAATGAAATCTTCAGAACCCATTAATGGTGAGAACAGGAGACCTAGCTCCTCTATTGCAAAACATATTATAGAAACAGGTCATAAAATCGACGTTAACAGATCTTTTAAACCTATCTATAAAACGTGTTTGGGGCGTATCCTAAAGTTTGTGGAAGCCCTAGCTGGCAATTAGAAAGTTTAAGCCACCTTTATGCGTTCAAAAACAATTTGTCATCACATTAAACCTTCCTTGGTAAATTTTGTTTTGACACCATAGCAGATGTACTATTACCTCTGTTATTTGGTTTAGTGGTCTTCATTGTTACTTTGACCTTGAATATGTCCTTTAAACTTGACCTAAGTCTATTTTTTTCTCACCTCTTACCTCTTTATTAATTTCATATCTATTCCTATGACAAGTCCGTGTGTGATCAGATTGTTCGAAATGTGTTGCGCAAATACATTACACGATTCAGACAAATTACGTCTTCTTATTGCTTTATCTAAGTTCTTCAGATAGTAGAAAATTGAATAATTGCATCCTCCATCAGTTTGATAAGCATATTTGAAGAAAATAAAAGACAGATTCAGCGAAGAAAATTTTCTTTATCGACGAAATCATCTTCAGAGGCTGTACAATCGTATTTATACTTACAAAAATATATAGTGGTGATCTGAAGCATATTTGAATTGTCACAGACGCATCAGTGGGCATTGTGTGTTACTTGTGGAGACCAGTCCCTCAAGTTTTACGAATACTTATCCATACTGGTTAGTGAGCAAATATAACACTAAAGTTCGGTAGTAACATCGAACTATTTTAACGAAAACTTAAGATGTATTTGCCGGGAGACTGCTTACACACTGTAATACAGATCATTTATTTTCGGCGATGAGAAAAAATTTGGCGCTTAAGTAAATGATTGTGAAAGGTGACGGATACACAATAGTGAATATTCATTATGTTCAGCATGAATTTCATTCTCTCCTCTCTGTCCTCTGAAGCGTAAAGACACAGATATAGATAAATCAAATGAGTTTGGTGTATGGAATTAGGGGATAAGCAGAACACGTATACAAGTCATAAGTAAAGGTATGATGTAACACAATATTCGCGAATCTAGTAGTTACACAGCAGGCAGACATAACAATATTTATTGGACTCGTCTATTTCTCATACAGATTTCCACTTGTTTTAAGCGAATTGCTTTGATTTCTGATATTTGGAATATTCTATAAACTGCGACTCTTGCTAATATTCACTTCTGTGTTAAAGGGGCTGTTATGAATTGCGATGATATCAATATCTTCCCCGTCGTCTTTTGGGCTGCAGTGCACAAGTTAGCACGATCTTATATCGTATCCCAGAGCTTCTGTGCTTCGCAAATCCAAGCATTTCCTGAGATGGAAGACCATCCTACTGAATACATCGCCCAATCGGAATGTCCTATTCCAGGCGAATTTCAGTTGCTTTTCTTTTCTTTTGTTGGTTTCAGGTATCAGCCATGTTTCCTCATTTGTGGTGTCGTCTGTGTTTTCCAAGTCAACGACACTATTGTTCAGCAGTCTTCCTGTATCGACCATCTGTGATCTCATTTTCATGCTTCTGTGTCCTACCCACTGACATGAAAATCAGAAAACCCTTAATCTTAGAATTTTTCATACTGTCGTGTCTTAACTGATGTTCAGAAGACTGCATTTTGATTCGCTGCACTAGATATATGTCTGCGTAGACATAAATGCTTGCCCACCTAATTGTATGGGCATCGCTTAGAACGGCGTCCCCTTAATTTTTTTAGTTTACTCTAGATTCAAAAAATAACATCAACAGCCCGCTGAGGGGACAGTCTTTTTATTTATTCTACATGCAACACAGTAGTCATAAATGCTACTACATTAAGGGTAGCATATCTAAAAAACAGGTTGATTACACTATGTTTTAACACAGAACTGAGGTCTGAAATGTCTGATTCTTCTCCTTTGTGGAGACAATCGGAAAGATGAGGTTTGCCGTGGCTTGACATTTTGCCTTGGGAGAGCCTTTGAAGGGTGCTTGGTTTTGCGCAGCAGTTTTCCTCGCTTCTAAAATGGACTACACCTCACCATTCACTGACTTTTCTTCTTCTTTTGACGCTGGTGGTGACTATGTATTATCCTCCCGATCTATGCGGGAGGCTAAAACTACACTGTTCGAGTCATGCAAAAGTTGTGTGGCGACTATCGCTGTTGGTCATAGACCCCTGACACTACTTTTTCTTTTCGGGAGAATTTAAGTTTTTACGTCCAGGATTTTCCAACAATTCCATAGTGAGGTTGCTGCCGGAAAAAACAGCAGTTCTAATGGCACTGCCTAACTTCGACTGTTTGTTATTGATCTCCCGTAATGAGAGATTTTTCCGTAGAGAAGGCTTCAGTCCCTTATGAAAAATTACGATAGCACCACGGAAACGGCCCATTTTGATTCAAAACAGTCGACACACAACCTGTCTGCAATGTGGTTGTCGAAAGGTGCTTCACTATAATGCATAAACTTTCTTCCGTTTCATCTCGTGACTGCGAATATTTATTTCTTGTATTCATTAACGTCCTACAGCTGAAGTCGCCTAGGTACGTGTAGATCAAGCCTCATCCACACAGGTGGACAATAGGCAGACACAGTCAGCAGCAGACAACGAGGAGGATGCCAATGAATGGCGTAATGTAGTCTCCCACAGGAAGCGAGAAAAGGACAACATAGTGGCCCAACTATCCACGGAGGACGACAAGACATTTTCACCACATTGCAACAAAGCCACCGCTAGCAAACCTGATCTCGCTGACAGGCCACTTATTCTCCACGGAATAGAAGAATCACCAGCTTCCGATCCCAAGGCCAGGCTCAAACATGAGCTTAACTTGGTCAAGTCCTCCCCTAGATTAGCTACTGCCAACAACAGTGTCAGGCGTAATCGTACACAGCTTGTATGACATCGGCCAAAAGCCTGGCTCGAAAGTAAACCAGCCGGTTCGCCTTCGTAATTTTGAGCTGAACTCCAAAGAAGAGAGGGATGCGATTCTAAGCAACTCAAACTCTTAAAGAATCAGGCATATACGTCCGTGCCGGCTTATGCCTGGCAGACCACGTCAAAAGACAGTCTGTGCCTCTATAATTAAGCAAACGGTGTCGAAACTAAGAAAAAATGTAAGATTAAGTGTTTTGAAGCTGTCAACATTTGAAGCTTGATGGTCCCGAACTCTCTGTGGGCAGGCCGTGAAAGTGCCAAATTGAGTTAACAGTTTGCTACACAAATCCTCACAGCCTGTTGAACAAACTGACTGAGCTGGGTAATATGACAGACTCCGAAAGTCCAGATGTAATTGTCATTACACAGATGTGGCTCACACCCTATGTCGCTGATGGCGAAGTTAACCTGCCAAAGTTTGAGGCGCATTGAATGGATCGACTAAACCATAAAGGAGGTGGCGTAGTCATTAACCTCAAGAAATGCTTGACCTTGCGTAGCATCGAAGCATTTGCTCAAGAAAGTGAATCGTGTGAACCCCTACGCTGCATAGGCTGAGATACTGACATGATTGCTAAATACTGCAGTCCTGACTGCAGTGCAAACGACTTCCTAATAGGGAAGCTAGAATGTTGGACATCGAAATGTCATAGTCTCGTTGTCGGCGACTTCAACGCCCCAGCATTCGACTGGACAAGCCTTACAGCGCCATCTTCAGACAACTCCTTTGAACATAAACTTCTGTAATCTAGCATTTCACTAGCCCTAGTCCAACATGTCATTAAGCCCACGCGCTATGACTTACAGCACTCCTCCTCAACTCTGAACCTAGTGTCCTCCCACAGTGAGGATGTGGGTCTCATACAACATCTTCCTCCTTTAGGAGGAAGCGATAATGCTGTGCTCACATTCAACATCACAGCAACAACAGCAAGGGCCAAAACCCCAGCTCGACCAAACGTTTGGAAAGCTCATATAAATGCGATCGTCCCAGCACTCGACTCAGTGAACTGATACATCAACCCAGAGTCCCAAGTAGAAGCCGCATGGAACCAATTTAAACAACTTTACGGCCAAGTAATTGAACATTTTATCCCTTGGCCTGTCCATAAGGGTAGGAAACATTGCCCCTCCTGGATAAACCGAGAGATCCTTAAACTATGCAGACGTAAATACAGATGCTGGAACCTGCTCACCACTCTTCAGACTCCTGGGACCAGAAGGTTATACACCACCGACGGGAACGAAGCTATAACAGAGATCCGCCAATCAAGGATGAAGTTCGAAGCATATCTGGCCCAAAATGCAAAGGCGCGACCTAAGAAGACTTCTTCGTACATGAACTTCAGGAATAAGGTATCCAGTGGTGTCCCAGACCTGACTGCTGACAAGGATACAATCGAAGCTGATCAAGAAAAGGCAGAAGCAATGGCAGAGTACTTCCGCCAAATCTTTACACAGGAGTCGTCATTGACCAGGATCTTCAAGCTATCTCTCCGGAATGGAGTGCTGCCGTGTGATTGCAAAGACGCCATCGTAAGCCCTATCCACAAAGGCGGATCGAGGCAATGCCCTTCAAGTTATAGGCCTATTATAATCACCAGCACCTTAATCAAGACACCCTGAAGAACCATCAAGAAAGGAACCAAGGCATATCTGGAAAACAACAACTTGTTATCCAGAGCTCAGCATGGCTTCCGAGGAAGCCTTTCATGCCCGTCAAATCTCCTCACTGCAAGAGAAAGCTGGGTCAAATCAAGAGACTTCATAGGCCTCAGCAAAGCCCTCACAAAACACAACTCATGAAGACTTGGTATCAAAGGCAGCCCACTAAACTGGATTAGAGAATTCATCATAGGTAGGAGGCAGGGAGTCAGTATCAACTCGAAACTCTCCTCCTGGACAACAGTGCGTAGCAGAGTGCCACGAGGCACAGTACTCGAACCTCTACTATTTATTTTGTTTATCACTGAGTTATTTCTGCCCGCCGATTTCCCAATGGTCCTATACGCAGATGACTTAAAAACTTGGAGAGAGCTGAAGGGCGACAGGGATACGCTCACTTTGCAAGAAGACCTCAACAAATTATCAGAGTGGTCCAGGGAATGGATGCTCGCAATCAATGTAGCGAAACTTGCGATTATGCGCATCGGACACGCATGTGTCAGCCTCTACGAATTAGAGGAAGAAAACTCCCTTCAGTTTAGACTCATTTGCCTTTAGGTGTTAAAGTAAGTCACGACCTAAAAACTACAGCACACTGTCGCGCGGTGGCTGCACGTAGTTTCAGGTCCTTATGGGCAATTCGCACAGCCTTTACTAGAATCACCAGAGATATTTTCACCTCCTTATATACATCTCTTGTGAGGTGAAGACTGGAAAACTGTGTCCAGGCAGCCAGTCCTTGTCTTAGAGGAGACTCACATATTCTAAAAAGGGTTCAAAGGAAGGCAACACGTATGATTCTCGGCATGACTAACTTATCATACGAGGAAAGACTGGACAGTTTAAATCTCTTCTCCCTGTCATATCGTAGGCAGAGAGGAGATTTAATTAAAATGTTTAAAATTTTAAATAATGACTACGGTCCTGACCTAATCTCTCCTTTCCTTCCCACCAGGTCAGAACACCTCAGAGGACATAGCAGGAGGGCTCAAAAGCCAAGAAGAAAGCATATTTCTATGAAACACTGGTTCTCACTTCAATTCATAAACTCTTGGAACCAACTCCCAGAAGAAGTGGTGTTTGCAATCTCAACTGATTCATTCAAGAAGAGTTTGAACAAGCACAGAAATTCAATTCAATTCAACTAATAAATCTGAACCTGAAATCTGAAATCTTTATGATGCTTTTCAGGTTCAAGGTCGTCCAAGCAGAAGGCGCCAGACTTCCTGGTCTGTTACATTGTGTTTTTTAAATTTTCTGTTTATACATTTCTCTCCGAAATAATCCTACTAGGCTTTTAAAATACACTTAGGTGTAAAAGCACACCCCAGCAGTATCCCTAGTAGTTGAATAAATAGGGTATAAATAGGGTAGGCCTTGTACTAAAAATGTGAAACAATCAACAAATTAGCCTATTCACTACATTCACGTTATACTAGTTAAGTGGTAATCGTGACAGTGCGGAAATAATCCTAGGGAATATGACAACCCTCTTGATTAAGGTGATTTTTGCGTTTAAAATACATATATTTATGGAAATTATGAATTAGAAGGCACCAAACTGTTACACATAATACCTTCCTCTGAAGTGTAACAAAAACGCCTCTTAGTTTTGGATTGGAGTATCATCAGAGTAGTTTAACCGCATTCCATGCATGGAATGATCTAGATTCAGATTCAGTTGATAAGGATAGAAGGCTCTTGTGGCCTGTGTTAATCCTTGCAAAATATATCCCTGCAGAGATCTAACTTCTCTTTGAAAGCGTTCACCGATGGAGCTGTTACTACTGAATCAGGTAAGGAGTTCCAGTCGTTGACCACTCTATGAGAGAATCTAAATTCTACACGTATTTTAATCGTCCTCGGTTTGAGCACCTTTTTACGGTGACCCCGTAAATGTATCCTAGAAGGAGAGAAAAGTTTAGAAAGGTCAGTTCCTAAATCACCCTTAAGTATACGGTAAGCCAAAATTAGGTCGCCTCTCTTCCTTCGGTATGATAACGGAAAGAGATTTAGATGCTCCATCCTCTTATCATAAGGAAGGTGTGATATACCACTAACTAGTTTCGTTCCTACTCTCTGTACTCTTTCCAGGATATATGCCTCCTTTTTGAAGCATGGACCCGCCGCTTGTACGTAGTATTCTAGATGAGGCCTAACATATGTTGCGTAGAGTATTTGGAACATGCCCTCATCTAATCGTTTGAAAGCCCTACGGAGTGCCCATAGCATTCGAAAAGCCTTAGCTGCGGCTGCATTGCAGTTTGCAGTTGTTTTCAAATCATTGCTGACAATGATTCCTAGGTCCTTCTGTTCGTTAACATCAGGTAGTTCTGTGTCCCCTAGGGAGTACGACGTATAAGACTTCTGACCTAAGTGCACTACTGCGCTTTTCCTAGAATTCATTTTCAAACTCCACAGGTTCGACCACTCCGCTAATTTATCTAGATCAGTTTGTAGGGCCGACCTATCCTCGTTATTATTTACAGTTTTCCATATCTTAATGTCGTCTGCAAATAACAATGAAGATGAAGTAAGAATCCCCGGCAGCTCATTAACGTATAATAGGAATAGCAAGGGGCCTAATACAGTTCCCTGAGACACTCAACTGGATACTGCTTTCCACCCTTATAGTACACCGTTAACTTTAACCTTCTGCCTTCTATCCATTAGGTAATCCCTAAACCACTCACAAAGGCATTGGTCTAGTCCGAAACCTTTAAGTTTACTAAGGAGATCTAAATGGGATACTCTGTGGAATGTCTTGCTAAGATCAATAAAAACCACGTCCAACAGAAGATTTTTATCTCTGGCCTCGACCCAATCTTCCCTAGCTAACAGTAAGTTTGTTAAGCAGGATTGTCCTGGTCGGAATCCATGCTGTTCAACTGCCAGTAAGCCATGTGTTTCAACGTAAGCTAATAGCTGATCCCTTATAATAGTTTCCATTACCTTTGCTATAATGCATGTTAGACTTACCGGCCTGTAGTTAGATACCAATTGCCTGTCCCCCTCTTTGAATATAAGGCTTATAATGGCATCCTTCCAGTCCCTGGGTAGCTTAGCCTGGGTCAGTGACATTTGGAAAATCTCCGCGAGTGGAATATATATTATATCCGCCAAGGAAATTAATAATTTAGGGTGAAGTCCATCAGGCCCAGGTGATTTACCTGGTTTCAGTTTAGACAGTAGTTTGAGGACTTTTGTGTGCTCTACCACAATTGAGGGCATCTGAGTGGCGATGGCAGTAACCTCGCCATATCCCTGGGTGGTACTATCAGACGAGAAGACGTCACAGAAGTATTCAGAGAGGTTTTCAGCCTTTCCTTCGTCTGACTCAGCCGTTTCTCCACTAATGCTTATGAGTGACGGTATACCATTGCTAGTTTTAGTCCTACGTTTAATATGCGAGAAGAGCCTTTTTGGGTAGTGAACACTATCTAGCACAAGCCGTCTCTCATATTCTATACGACTCTTGTTAATCGCATACTTACAGAAATTTCGAATTTTGCGGTAGTCTTTCTGGAAATTTTCCCTTCCTGTCATAATAAATTGGTCCCATAAGTTCTTTCGCCGTCTTAATAGCCTCCTTATTTCACTAGTAATCCAAGGTGGCTTGTGCGATAGCTTTCGAGGAGTGTACCAAGGTATAAAAGGTGAAGTGACACAATCTAGTGTATTTCTAAATCCTACCCAAGCTTCCTCGACAGTCCGACTTGTATCTACTGACCAGTCAACTGAAGTTGCTGCGTTCCGGATTCCTTGTATATCCGCTTTCCAAATGTTTGGACGAGCAGATTTTGACCTGTGTATGAGAGAATGAATCTTAAACGTAAAAGCAATGACTATGTGGTCACTGCTGCCAAGCGGTGGAAGGCACCTAATGTCACCAACGTCCTCCTTCTGGTGTGTTAATATCAAATCTAGAGTAGATGGATCATGTTCCGGGTGATACCGTGTTGGTGCATGCATATGTTGCACGAGTGCACATTCAAGCACTGTCAATGTGAACTCCCTATTGAAACAGGTATACAGACTAGTGGAGTTTAATTCCCCCCAGTTAATGTGTGGAGCATTAAAGTCGCCAACAACCAGACACCTATTTCTACTACCCCACGCCCTCAAGTGATTTAGAACGAAGTCATCAGCTTGGCTAGCAGGACTTCTGTAAATAACTCCGATCGTTAAAGTGCCTTTGCTCAGATTAATAACGCAACTTGCAGCCTCACTGGTACCGCTGTCATGAGCTTCTGACAACGTTGACCTAATCCCTATGTCATCGCGGATGTATAGAGCAACCCCACCACCTTTCCGACTACTTACTCTATCTGCTCGAATACAGATGTACCCAGGTATGAGTGGAGTTAAGTCTACACCCACTAACAACCGTGTCTCAGTGATAGCAATCACATCAGGTTGTAGTCTTTCAGATAACTCTCCTAATTCGGCGAGTTTATTCCTAAGATGTAGACCTAGCTAGGTCTTCTAAACCTAACAAAAACCTTAATCTCTCCTTAACCTGACCCTGACATGAAAATATCCCTAAACTAACCGCAATCTAACTCAAAGCGACCTTTACTTCGCCCCCAATTAAGTTTACCTAACTCTTAACCTAAACCTCAACTTCATCTTTCCCGAACCGAAGCTGAAACATCCCAGATATCGCACTTATGATTAATATATAATATACCAGGTTTCACTAACTTGCACTCTACTGGTACATACTGGTGCCTAAGTTTCTCCGTAATTCTTCATCTGATAAGAATGTCAGTAGGCGCCGAACTATATATGGTTCAACATTATGGTGCTCATGAAAATTTATCTCTTTCGTTACTATCCTCTTTTGTTAAAGGAAATTTGTATAACTGTATGATACACCTAAAGAAAAGGGTATCACCTAGAAGAGCTTCATTGATATTAGATGGTTATTAACTATTAGAGCTTCATTGAACTACTTGTTGGTTTTCAGACACTTAAATGGAGATCTCCACAGTTGATTATTCATGAATCAAAATTATTGTCACTTATTTTCTACAATGACCTGAATCATAGTATCATGGACTATTCCTCCCATTGAGAATGATGATCAGCGGAGTTTCGTGTGCTTATAGAAGTATGAATGAGGAGTGAAGTGGTATAGCTTGTTGACCACTTCACTTATTTGGAGAGTTGTATCAGCCAGTGCCAACGGGTGGATCACTGACGGAATCCCAGCAAGCAGACAGAAGGCTCGTTTCGCATATAACAACTTACGCTGTCTCTAGCTTAGTAGACGTGATATCCGACTGGCTATTAACCAAAAGACGTGTGCACTGCTCAGCAGTTCGCCCCATCCCCCTTTATGACTGGCTATGAGACATGGCCACTGAAAGTGAAAAACATCAACGCCTAGCTATTTTTGATCAATAGGTGTCTGTGTTCTATCTCCCCTGTGTGCTAGGTCGTATAACAGGACAAGTAACATTGATATTAGGCATCGGTCGAGTGTTGGGTAAGGAAGGGAAATCAACACACGACGTTGTGAATTTACACAGATTGAGATGGTTAGGACATGTGTTACGTATGACTAGCCTAGTCAAAGCCTTCCTCGACGGGCAATGTTAGCTGACATAGAATGGATTAGGTTGGAAAAGATCTAGTGGTGGTCAAACCAAAACATGGCTTCATCAATCAATGAAATCCATAACAGTTAGTTTAAGCCACATAGGAATGTATAGACTTCCTGGTTGAGGTCCTTGGGACGGTAAAAGCCAATGGCTCAAAATCGTTCCCAATGACTGGCACAAATGCATCCATTCCTTGTGACTTGTAATATCCAGTAAAACTCTATTGTTCTTCGTTATTACTATTCCTTTTCTCATATTCCTGTCTACTGTCTATTATGCATTTCTTCTACTTTCTTCTCTTGCCACAAGGAGTGGAGTGTGGCTGCAAAGTTCTACGTTGAAACCAGTCAGTCAGTCTTCCCATTAGTTTGACTGCTACACTAGTTTTATCGGTTAGACTATAGCCCTCAAATGAATTTCTCAATGCACACTATAGAAGATTGAGATAACAGTAGGATGTCTCCGGGCTGTTGGGGACCTCCATGGACTGAAAAGTCACAACAACGATCCGTATATAGCTTTAGTCAATTTCGTAAAACTTTGGATATCATGTTCATGAAGTTTGACTTAGGAAATGAAAATAATAGGGAAAAGTTAAGACTGCTGACACAATTAAATGGTTGGTCGTATGATCTCCAAGCAACCCAATCAGAGAACTCATATGGTTGAAGTGAGGAAAACGTGGGAAGAGTTGACAATTTTGATCGGTTGAGAAGTGGATAAAATGCAACACGAAATACCCATCTTACCCACTATTCTCCCACCGCTAAAATTTTTATAACTCACTATTTCCTATTTTACTCATGTGTTCCGAAAATAACCCACTTTTGAACGGAAAAATGCCCATGTTTTTTTCGACTTTATCTATATTCACGAAAAAAATTCTCCGACTACGAAATAACTGAAGTACCAAACGAAAAGGCGAATGGTATTTACTAATGAAGTTCTATCTGTATGTTCAATCTAAATATGGTTGGAAGGGGGAAATCTTACAGCAGTTCAATGAAGCTGTTAGCGGTAGTGCATTGACATATTGTGGTTCTTTAACAGTTTCTATAAGTATTTTATATTCATTATTTATTAAATCACAACCTGTACATATAGTACAGAGGTGCGTCACACAGAATCTCATAGCTTGTGTAAGGACTGATACACTGCCTGAACACCGAAGTGACTGCCTTATGGGGCCAATTCTGGAGCCTTTGATTCGAATTCTGATCCGCCAGATACTGGAGCAGCGATAGGAACTGCTTTCTTGTGGTTGACAGTCACCACAACAGGTTCATACACCATTCTATTCTTTCGGATTCTGGAGCCCATCTCCCCCTCCCCCTTAAGTTTGGGATCAGGATTTCTCAGCTCCCTTAGGTAGACATGCATTGTCTATCAGGCCGGTTGTTAGCACCAGAAATTCTCATATTCTCTCTTACTTTTGTAAAGAACACCCCGTTGCGTGAATGCAGTGAATAGGAGTTACATGACAGAGGTTATGAATTCGTGGCCACATTACAGCGTTTTGATAGGAAGACCGAAGCCTAATTATCTTTGACCCTACCAGGTCGTTTGTGGGGGGACTTCCTGAAGTAATTTCCTCATAATTGGTACGGTTAACTATAAAAATTACACCATACCCCTACTTATTACGGGTGTTGTGTAAAAGGATAAGTGCCGAAGAAGAATTAACAGGCCAGCTTTATAAACAGGTGCTTATTTCCAACATTATTATTATTGCTTAAATTAACATTCAGTTTTCCAATTATCTATTTTGGTTTTATTTATATAACACAAAGTTGTCTCAATGTAAGAATGCAGAAAACTCCATTCTGTATACAAAAGTTGTTGTCTGGAATAGAGAGATTACTTCCACTATTGCCTACATTGTCAAGCGATACGATTAGGTTGAAATTATATTCCGTAAGCAGTGTATCATACTGGTTTACGAGCACTACCTGGACATCTCATATCCTAACGATTTCTAAGAAAGTGTTCTGTCTAACCTACTACATTAAGAAACTTAGACAATCTGGAATCACCCAACCTCTACTTTCACAATTTGTCAACTCTTGTATCTTACCTATTCTACTTTACTGCTTCCCGTTAGTCTTTCCTGGTCTACTGAAAAAGGACTATACCATCCTGAAAAGGATTTTGAAGGTAGTTAGTAGGACTATTGGTGTAAAACTCAGTCAGCTCGTCACTACATTAGTTGAAAGACATCTGAATACGTGCGTCTAAATCTATACTGTCCGACCCCCCCCTCTATTCCCAACACTCGCCTTGTATCTCATCAAGTAAAAGCAGAAATCAGTATAAATTAATCCATGCTCGTACAACCAAGTACAGGAACTCTACGATACCATATTTGGCCCGTGTTCTAAGTGACAGAGATAATGCTGAGCACGAAACCTATGACTTGCTTTGTTGTGAATAAGATAATTTAAGCTCTTTTATTTCTCTCTTATTTTGTATTCCATAGTGAACACCTTCTTAAACATACTTAGCTACCTAAATTATTAACATTGGCTTCCCTTTTTTGTACTTTACTCTATTCCTTCTTTTGTGTATCTACTGGTTCCGACTATATTAGCACTATGAGTATTACAAAATTGTCCTGTCATTAACCATCATGTAATTATTAGTTTTGTCGTTGTTGTTTTTTTGTTTTGTTCGGCAATATTAACTGACAATCATTGGTTGTGAACGCCATTATCACCATCTTAAAATTTTGTATTATTCCGGATTACTCACACTACCACTACAAACACCGCATTAGACCTGACAATAAAAAACAAAACAACAACCCTGAAATGTTATTTTATGATTGTTTAGTGTTGTTTCAACCAAGTTAACTGATCATCTTGGCGATAAACATTCTTAAATATCATTTTCATAACTTCTTGTATGACTATAGCTTTACTGTCATCCTGCATAATCATATCATAGCTTCTACTACCCAATACTGAGATATTATTATATGCTGTTTATTTTCCTTTCTACTTCTTGGTATTTTTTCGCATTAAAAAAAATTATTTTGTGTTTTTCCTGTCTTTTTTTGCTGTTGGTGTCTTTATATATTTTTTTTGAAATACTCTTTTTAAATGTTTGATAAAATTAGATGCAAATATTGTAGGTATGTGCTGAAAATTCCACACTGTACCACTAGTACTGTTTCTGGAATAAAGCAAATTATTATTATTATGTATTATGTTTGCTTTAAAATATACAAAAATCTCAGAAATTATTCATAAGTTCTCTGTTCTATTTTTCAGCTCACACAGGCTTTACTCATGAATCTTAATAACAGTTACAAGGATGTAAATCCAGAAACTGGTGAAGAGATAAAACGCAATGAGTATCGTAAAATGGGAATTTATGACTTCGTGCGGCGAGATATTGAGCGGTTTTTTGCACATCCAGTGAGTTTATTCATTTTTTTTTGAACAATTAATACCTGCAAAGGAAGAAGCTATTGTTTCTCCTCAGTTAGTACAACCTCAGTTACCAAAAGCACCGCCTGAATTCGTTCGCAATGTATGGGGTACTGTGAAATTCTTTAAAAATTGATGAATTACAGGATCTGCTGCTGGTGTCGGCAGTGGAGATTTTCATATATACAGAGGGATTAGACGAAGAGAATATGCTCGTTTAGAATTGATTGAAAAGACTGCAGAAGAGGTGAGAATTTTCGCCTTCTTTAGTTTTTTTTTTACTGACAATTTCTTAAAGGAACGTTTAGATAAAGAGTTTCAAATGAAACAAAAAGAACTAGCGGATTTAGCTGCTGAAAAAACAGCTAAAAAGCGAGCTAAACGTCAGATGAAAAAGGCGAAAAGAATAGCCAAAAGAAAGTTGAAATCACAATCGAAATCTGGTGAAGATAGTGATTGTTCAGGCGATGAACAACTGGAAGAAGTAATGGAAACAGGAAATAGTCAACTTGATGCAGTTGAAGAGGAATCTAAAGAACAGTGACACATCTAACTTGATCTATATAAGCTTGTAAATATTTGTTTTATATGATACATTCTTATTATTTATGATTTAATTCTTTTTTTGTTTTTGGATGGAAAATTAGCTACACCTTCTGGAAGGTTTTTAAAACGTTTATCTAAATAATGCGACTCAGTGTGTCAGTTCATTAGTATTTTTGGCAGAGAAGTTATTTGAACTTTGAACAATTGTCAATCCCATTTCTATAAAAAATAGTGATTTTGATTTTTCTAGTATTCATCCAGTCTAGATATCAGTGACTACTCTTTCCGCTATCAGATGAAACCAGTAAAAGAAAGTTTTTACACAGAATTTTTTCCCACAATTATTATTATTATTGTTTCCTTTAGTTCCTAGAGGAACGTAGGGCTTCAGCCGCACGTCTCCATTGCGTTCGGTTCTCTGCCAATGTTTTCACCTGGCTCCATATCTGTCCACATGCTTTCATCTCCTCTTCACATGACCTCCTCCATTTCACCCTTGGGCGACCAACTCGCCGCTTCCCATTCGGGTTCCACTCGAGTGATGGCCTGGCGTGTGATTTCACTTGATGGTTTGCTTTCTTAGAGTATGACCAATAACTCCATTTCTTCCTGCATATTTGTTGCACAATCGGTTTCTGGTTGGTTCGCTCCCAGAGATCCTTTTTCTGGCCATCTGATCTTGAGTATTGAGTTTTCCACAAGTTGTATAAAAAATCATATTCTAATATGTCGTCGGGATTATTGGATATATTAATGTTCATAATAATTATGGCAATTAATAAATGGTTGCATTCTTAGTTTTCTGATAGAAAACAGTACACTGTATACCTATAGTTGGAAGTCCTCCGCTGATTTACATACTCTATTTCTTGCTCCTCACTCAGCGTGCTGTTCTTTCTCCTGTTCTGTTTTCTTTCTTCTTATATGATTTACCCATTCGAACAAATTTAATTTTGTTAAGTATGCCGATGATGTGAATGTTTCTATGCCCGTTACTTCGTTCTTAGATTGTGCTAAAATGTATAACTTTATTAGAAATTAGTCAGCAGGCCTTTGTCGGATTGTTAATTTCACTTGCAATTAATAGCGTTCTCTGAGCTGGTTGGTTTAGTTGCGGAGCTTTTGTCGTCCTTCTGGACAACATCTTCAGCGCAATATTTAGCATAAAGTGAAATGATTTAAATTTCTTCATGAGTGATATAATTGCGTCTCCTGGTAACCATCTTTACATATGTGCGTCGGTGGCACAGTGGTTAGGGCTCTCACCGACCATGCACATGGTCCGCGGTTCGATCCCCTGCCGACGCACATCCGATATCTATGGTCGGCCTGCAAAATTTGGGCTACTGATATCCATGGTGAAAATTCCATACTTGTACTGAAAATACGGTGTGACATCAAGCTGTAATCAAAATCATTTTCAACTTTCTGGTCACCTGATTTACTTTTTATTAGTTGGTATATTTCGTCTATATTAATGTGCTTGTTAATTGCATTTTTGTTTGAGTACCAGGCTTCTAGGAATTCCCTGGCACTTTTGGTGTTTCCTCTGTCTAAGATTTTGACATTATCCCAGTCAAATTGATGACCATAATTGTCTATATGCACTGATACTAAAGAATACATATCGTGTCTTTTCACGGCTGATTTGTGTTCTTGGATTCTGATTCGAAGGGGACGCCCACTTTGGCCGATGTAATGCCTGTCACAGTTCATACAATTTATTTTGTAAATGGTATTAATTTTATCCGCTTTTTCTGTTGGATCTTTTGGTTTGCATAATATTGAATTAAGCGATTTTACTGGCTTGTGTGCTATATCTATATCAAACGGTTTCAGTATTCTAGCTGTTATTTCAGAGATATTTCAGATGCAAGAGTGACTTACATGAACTGGTTAGTTCTCACGGTTCCACTATCATAGATGGCAGTGAAGCTGAAACTAAGTTGAATGTTAAATACCTTGGACTGTGTATTTCCTCTGATCACCTTTCCTGGTCTTCCCACATCATATTAGTTTCCGGAAAGAAAGTTAAAACAAACTGGTATTATTCCCTCTCTACTGTTACATTTTGTTAATTCTTGTATTTTGCCTATCCTTCTTTACTGCTCCTCTATCCTTAATCTTCCCTGGGCTACTTAAGAAAAACTTTGTTATACTGTGAAGGGCACTGGAAGCCGTCAGTAAGGTGAGTGGGGTGTTGCTTAACCAACTCGCTGGTACTATTGTAGATAGACACATGGATTCGTACAAGAAATTAGCCAATATTATCTTTGTCAGACTCTGAACGTCCTCTCTTTTAGACAACTCCCTCCTTGCATCTTATCAGGGGGGTAGACCTAGAAGCTACAATAGAAGACTGTTGTATGCTCGGACGACTAAGTACAAAAACTCTACAATACCTCATTTAGCCAGTCGGGACACATTTTATGTGATGAGAAAAGTGTAAGTTATGATACTACAAACTTACTGAGAAACACTAAGTAAACAACCCTATCTATTCTTCCATTGATTATTATATTGTTGGTAATATTTTCACCCAAATTAAATCTTACATTCGTAATCTTATTTAACAGTGTTATCAATGTAAATGTCCTGTTTTAATTATTATCAAGTATTGGTTTTATAGGAATTTTGTTTGATTGCATGGAAGATTTCATCATGAGCTGACATTAGTTAGAGAACCACTGGAAAACCAGCTGGGAGTACTGGACAGCTGTTTAGTCCTAGTTTGGGATGTCAGCTCATGATGAAATCCTCTATGCAATCAAACAAAATCCCTACCAAACCAATACTTGAAAATTAGTCTGATGCTCACTAGCGACTGGCCCTATTCAGGCAGTTAACCTAGGGTTCTAGTGGGAAGCCGTGACCAGTAGGGTACAGCAGGTCAAAGATGAGACAGTAACTCATCGCAAAAGACCTTGCGAAATGGTCGCGCTATGTCGTGAATTGGCAGAAGTTAGAATTCATGGGCCATCGCATCGGATCCCAGTGGCTCAATGGTCTACGAGCTTGCTGGCCTTGTAACCAGAAGTTCCTGGGTTCCAACCCGTGGGGGCGTACTGATGAGGAGTCCCAAACTAGGACAAAACAGCTGTCCAGTACTCCTAGGTCTTAATTATTACTCCTGTAATGAGGAAATTGGATGCTATGCTGTAGTATATTCTAAAAATTCCATATTTGTACCAGAGATACTGTTTGGAATGGAGCTATTAATAATAATATTATTATTACTATCATACACTTAGATGTACTACTCTATGGGTCGTAGTGGCTCAAACACGTTAAAAAGTGACTCTTGTTCCAGTGGTCTTTCTTTTTTTGTCTTACGGCGTTTCATAGGTGTACTCGTGATGGTCCTATCTTCATATTTTTTTTATCTCTCGTCTTATTGTCTACTAGTGCGAATATCAGATTTAGTAACTTAGATCTCTACCCAGCAATACTAGATCTTGTCGTGTTACTATTGGTAGTGTCTGTTTTTTATTTTTACTGGTGTTTCACTGAAAACTAATAGTCAGCGTAATCGGTACAATATGGTAATCTTGAAAGCGATCGTTATTTAGTTGTCTTCTTCAAGAATTTTAACTGTTATATTACGTATTTTCACCATTTTTGATTTTATTATTCCTTCTGATGTTCATCACATCTCCACATTGCTTCTGCTTAGATTGTCACTAGGTAGGTAGGTAGGTATTGAATGTTTGTTTGCGTACAAAAGTCGCATCTTTACTATGGCATTCACTTGTTGCTTTTATAAACAGTTAGATATCTTATTAGAGCTAAATGTAACAAAAAGTATACTAAAGGGAAATAAGAATGAAAACAGTTTGCATAGAAACCATATGAAAAGGACTGTTTGTAAGCGGTTATATTGGGGTTAACTTGAAGCCGTGACATATATATCACTAAGGAACTCTGGTTTAAGGTTTTTCAACCTTTGGTTTGAGTAAACTTCTTACTAGGTGGAATTTATTTTCACTGTATAATATCGTTCAACGTTATTATTATTATTAATATTCTTTTGGGTTCCGAGTAAAACAGAGGACTTCAACAGCCCATCTTCCCACTCCACCTGCACGATTGCTCATAACCTTTCATATATTTCCTCTCTGCAGACAATCTCCTCGATGCCAGCGTTGAATGCCCAAGTCGTGGTTTCCCATCCGGATTCTTTAATCTATCACTGGCCTGGCACCTGATGTCATTCAGTAGTCAATGGTCTCCTCATCATGTGTCCAATCTGTCGTCATGTCATTCTGTGTATTTGTTAGGTGATAGGCTCTTTCTTATTCATTGGTTCATTGTAAGAGTTTCTTGTTGCTTTTACTTTCTGCCGTGCCATCTGATCCCCAATATTGATGATAAAAGTAACTCAAGGTTAGAATAGAGTTGAAGACAACAGCTAAGGAATAACACTTAAAGCACAATCCCTCCCTCTATTGTGCAGTTGAAAACAAGTGAGACTAGGATAAGAAGGACGAACATCAAGTAACTCCATAACGAAAGCCTCAGTATATTAGAGTAGTAATCAGTCACAGAAGTAATCGAGAAGACGACTTGCAAGATAGTCGTGAAATCACGATAAAGCTGAATAAAAGCCATCAAATTGAGACAATTATTTTTTAAGACAGAAAGAGAAATAATAGTGCTCAATGTTGCCAACCTTCATTAACAGTTGTCTTCGCTCAATACTCAAGATCAGATGGCCGGCCAGAAAAGATCAGCAACAGAGATCTCTGGCAATGAGCGAACCAACCAGGAACCGATTGTGAAACAAATAGACAGGAAGAAATGGAGGTGGATTGGCCATACTCTGAGGAAACGATGCATCAAGTGACATCACTAGACAATCCATTGCTCGAGTGGAGCCCGAAAGGGAAGCGGCGGCGAGTTGGTCGTCAGAGCGAGGGTGACTTGGAGGAGGTCATGTGAAGAGGAGATGAAAGCATGTGGGCAGATATGGAGCCAGGTGAAAACATTGGCAGAGAACCGAACGCAATGGAGACGTGCGGCTGAAGCCCTACGTTCCTCTAGGAACTAAAGGAAACAATAATCATGTTGCCAACCAAACCAGTAGGGTAACTACTCAGTAATCTGACAACTGAGTATTTTGAGTGGTACAGCTTCTGCTAACCACCACTGGGTGGTGTAATTACACAGCTTATTGGTTATTTTGAA